AATTTAAATTTCAAATGTAACGTGCTATATTTGACCCTGTAACTTCCCAAAACACCATAAAACCTGTACATAAGTGGTACTGTTTTACACGTGAGACTTTGCTGAATACAAATATGTGTATTTTATTGCAGTAAAGCAAACAGTATTATGACATTGACAGTTAAAATGTCATGTAGAACTAAAAAAATTAAACAAAATCTTATTTTCTCCCATTTTTTTCATATTAAATTATGTTTCATAGCTAAATATTTGATATTAAATGAAAGCCCTGTTTCCCCTGAATAAAATGATATATAATAAGGGTGGGTGCATTTAATATGAAAGAGGTGAATTACGGTTGGACAGACATGTAGCGCAAATGCCAGGTTTTGTTTACATTTTGTTTTTGTTCACAACGTGTACATTTGGCTCCGTCCTTAAGGGTTAAACTGTATGGCTATGCTGTATTTTCCTATAGGCTTTGCGTGCGGGGGAGCCTCCATGTCCATTTTGATTGGGGCCCCCAAATTCCTTCAAACGGCCCTGCCGATCCTATTTTTTTAAACTGAGGTGTGTGTGCTGCCGTATTCTGCTTGTGTTATTTATACTGTAATTGCTTTGTATCGTTGTATTTGTGCGTATATGAGCTATTATATTGGATATGTTCATTACTTTTGGGGTGTCTGAGAACACATGCACAATTTTACAGCATTTTATGGCATTCACAATGTGGCAGTGTAGTCTGCACATTTTTATATAATATGAAGTTAACAGACTAGTGGACTACGCTTATTTAAGATAACATACATCTGTAGCTTGTGTGTAGTGCGATATGTATGTCTTAAAACATAGTGAAGTGGTTAACAAATTACTGAGCCAGCAGAGGCAGCATTATGCTATGGAATTCAGGCTAGTGTTTCAGGTTTCATGTATATGTAGCTTATTGAGGTAAAGAAAATATAAAGGGAAAGAAATAAAATTAAACTGTATGCGTATATCTTAAGAGTAGTATACAAGCGAGGTATGCCACCCCAAGTTGCTTTAGTAGCTGGTGCAGTGTGAAATTATTTGGAACAATGGCGCAGTCAGCAGGCATACCAGACATTCAACAGAAGAGGGGAGATTTCTCCTGGCTGTGGGTGGTGTGATTGTTGGTCCGGCAACCTTCTGTGCAGTCAGCCTGTGCCTGTCATAGGCAGGATGCATTCCCAGGTTTTGGGATGACTTGTGGGATGGCTCGGGAGGCTCAGTAACCCAGGCTGGGTCGGTGTTTTTGTTCTTTTTAGGTGCTGAAGTAGAGAGAGGAAAGTCATTTGATTAGGGTCGGGTAGAGATCGCAGAAGGTGCATCTTACTGCTGGATCATACAGGGCTATTCTTTCAATAAGCGTAAGATTAAGCCTGTCTGTAAGGAGAAATGCTGGCAGCTCACGGAAGTTGAGTTTTAGTGTCCCTGCTATGGCAATGATGTCCGTGTCACTTAGCCTCATGAGAATGTCCTTACTATTAACGGTCCTCCTCGGTTCTGTCGATGCAGGTGATCAACCTGTAGTGGCTCAGGTCTTGGCGCTATCACACATGGCCTCCACCATCTTGTTTTTGGTGCCTGGATTGCGGGTCTTGGCGGCCGCCGCGCCTGATTTGCTATGCGGTGGTCTGGTCTCGAGGGTGGGGACCGGGATCACCCCCCCCGGTCCAAAGGGGGGGGGGTACGGAGCTGGTTCCCCGCGGATCTGGCACATGGTTGAGCGCTGGTTGGCAGGATAGTGGGGCAGCAGCCGTCCGCCCCGCTCACCGCCGGTGTAGGCCTCAATACTGCCAGTGATGAATCTTCCTCCAGGGGACTGTAACCCTGCGGGCCAGCCTCACCCTGGGTCTTGATCCCTCATTTTTTTTAAAAGGTTACTCCAGACACCATGATCATTTCACTGATTTGAAGTGGTCATGGTACTTAGAGTCTGTAAGGGTTAAAGCACATACTTGCCAGATGTCAAATTCCACCTTAGGGAACATCCTTAGTCAGTTGCCCAGCAAGAGTTCTGGGTTGGCTAATATTACATCTGTGCACATTCAGCATCTGTTGTCAGCATGCATATCATGCTTGCAACAGACAACCAATATTGGCACTGCCCCACTCTGTGCTGCCCAAATACTACCTTCAGCCTGTCCTCTGAGATTAATTTCTCTAAGCAGTGACGGGGAGTGATATCACCGCAGAAGTATTAGGATGCAAGGAAACCTTTCCTTGGCCATATTTCTGCTTTGTTTATTTATTTTTTTATTTTTTTAGAGGATGCCAGCAAAGGTTTTTCTAATAAAAAACACTTTTTTTCTGTTTTCTTGAATTAAGTAACTCTTTAATTAACTGGGGTCAACATAAATTTGTGGAACACATCTCAATATATATATATTGCAAACCTCTAGTCAGTTCAGGTATTTTATATGTTCCAGCCCAATCACACCTGGTGCAACTAATGAAGCACTTGATTAATTGGTTACAACTGTGTGTGTATGTATGTGTGTGTATATATATATATATATATATATACACACACACACACACACATATACATACACAACTGTGTGTGTATGTATGTGTGTGTGTGTGTATATGTATATATATATATATATATATATATATATACACACACACACACACATACATACACACACAGTTGTAACCACAATTATTCAACCCCCACTGAAGATAATTTACAGACTTTAAGCTGTTAGCAATTTAGCAATGAACAAAACAAACAAAAACAATTGAAATAGCTCAACACGACCAATGCTTTAAGTGGTCTCCCCAAATTCAACTGAAAACTACTTATAATGACTTTTACGGCCTCAAAATTATTAAACCTTTTGAACAGAATCCCCCACAGCAGCACAAATGTGCAAAAAAGTGGAGACTCAAGCACACCTGATGCAATTATTCAAGTGCTTCATTAGTTGCACCAGGTGTGATTGAGCTGGAACATATAAAATACCTGAACTGACTAGAGGTTTGCGGAATGTCACATTTGACTGTTTGTTGGAAATATGGCTAAGTCAAAAGAATGGTCCACAAAAGTTTAGAGAAGAGATCATAGCCCTACATAAACACGAACAGGATATATAAATATAGAAAAAGCACTGAATGTTCAATGTTGAAGGAACAGTGGTTACACTACCTGGACGGAGAAGAAAAAGGAAGCAATCAAAGGCTGAACCCATACTTATGAGAAGGCAGGTTGTAAAAAGCCCTTGAGTGACTGCAAAAGACCTGCAGCAACACTTAGTGGCAACAGGCACTGAGGTTTCAGTGACAACAGTAAGGCGCATACTAATGAGTACACCACTAATGACCCAAAAGCATAAGAAAGGTCGTCTCCAACATACTCAAAATCATATAAATAAACCACAGAAGTTTTGGGATTCTGTTCTGTGGAGCGGTAAAACAAAATTGGAACTTTTCGGCCTAATGGATCAGCGGTATGTCTGGAGGAAGAAGAATACTCTGTCTACAATTGTCACAATTCGGTTTATTCTCAGTCTGGGGCAGTATCTCACAGTGCCACTACCTGTCTGTGGTGCTATTTCAGGCTGCTGCACCCAGACTGAGATCTCTCTCTGTTCACAGCTGGCCTTACTTTGTAATTAACTTCTCCCTATTTCGTTGAGCCTCGACCTTTCTTGTTTGTCAGTTCATTGATGTTAATGTTGTTGATCTGGTCCTGCCTATACTGTGCTAGCTGTCTCTCTGTGTTCCTGAGCTGACTGCTTCCCTGTATCCAGAGGCCTTCTCCTGCGTGCCCTGTATCCAGAGGCCTTTTTCCTGTGTTCCCTGTATCCAGAGTCCTTTTCTGTGTTCCCTGTATCCACAGGCCCTTCTGCTACATTTAGTTATCTGTATTTGTATTTTATTTAACTGCCTTTTTTGTAAATATCAATACACTTATTTTATTGCCTTGATTTGTGTGTACCGTATATACTCGAGTATAAGTCGACCCGAATATAAGCCGAGGCCCCTAATTTTAGCCAAAAAACTGGGAAAACCTATTGACTCGAGTATAAGCCTAGGGTGGGAAATCTACTGGTAAATTTCTAAATAAAATTAGTTCCCAATAAAATTACTTTAATTGAATATTTATTTACAGTGTGTGTATATAATGAATGCAGAGTGTGTTTGTGTGTAGTGTGTGTATATAATGAATGCAGAATGTGTGTTTGTGTGAATCCAGTGTGTGTATATAATGCAGAGTGTGTGTGTATATAATGCAGAGTGTGTGTGAATATAATGCAGAGTGTGTGCATTATATACACACTGCATTCATACAAACACACACTCTGCATTATATACACACACACTCTGCATTATATACACACACACTCTGTGTGTATATGATGCAGAGTGTGTGTGTGTTTGTGTAGTGTGTGTGTAAACTGGGTGGGGGGAGGGCATTCGTATTATTTTTAATATTTTTTATTTAAATTTTTTTATTTTAATATAATTACTTTAATATTTTTTATTTTAATATTTTTTTTATTTTAATATAATTACTTTAATTTTTTTTTTTAATATTATTTTATTATTTCATTGTTTAATTTTTTTTTGTCCCCTCTCCCTGCTTGTTACCTGGCCAGGGAGGGGGGCTATCTCATTCCCAACCTGCCTTCTCATAAGTATTGGCTGTGCAGGAGAGGGGCTGGCAGCAAGCTGTTACTCACCTTTCCTGCAGCTCCTGTCAGCTCCCTTCACCTCCGTTCCCTTCCGCTCACTGTCAGCTCCGGTCTGCTCCCTTCACTTCCGCTCCGTTCGGCTTACTGTCTAAATCTCTAGGCCTGCGTGACGCGCGGAGCGTTGCCACGGTAACCCGCGGTTCTCGCGAGATTTAGACAGTGAACCGAACGGAGCGGAAGTGAAGGGAGCAGACCGGAGCTGACAGTGAGCAGAAGGGAACGCAGGTGAAGGGAGCTGACAGGAGCTGCAGGAAAGGTAAGTAAATGCTTCCTGCCAGCCCCCAACAGGACCGCCGGGCTTGTAATGAGCCGGGCGGTCCTAGTCTGTATTATGGCAATGTAAGTTGCCATTATACAGACATTGACTCGAGTATAAGCCGAGTTGGGGTTTTTCAGCACAAAAAATGTGCCGAAAAACTCAGCTTATACTCGATTATATACGGTATATTGGCATTCTGGATTCCACTCTATACAGGGCCGGTGCTAGGATTTTTGACTACACAGGCGAAGATGCATTTTGACGCCCCCCTCCCCTCCCAAAAATAAACAATGCATCTTCACCTCTGTGTCTCGTAGCCCCCTTTTGAATTTCTTACCCCCATTAGTGTTGCATATCCACTCTCTTGAATGTCTTATCCCTTTGGCCCCTTTGTGCCTTACACCCCCCTTTAGTGTGTCTCCTACAACACCTCTTATGTATTTCTTACTTCCCCGCCAGCCCCTATCTATCTCTCTTTTTCTCCCACACATAATTTTTCAGGCACACAGTCACAAAGATATATAGACACACAGTCATAAAAGGCACACAAACAAACACAGTCATACAATCTACACATACAGGTACATTGTCATACAAACACAGACATACATTCATACAGACATAGGCCCTCACAGAAATACAGACAGACATAAAGAAACATAGAGATAGGCATACAGAGACATACATACAAAGACAAACAAAGAACCCTGCACACTGATACCGTGTAAATGCTCCGGCCATCAACAGTGGTGGATGCTCCGTGTCAGGCGGACATCGCTGGATCCACCAGTAAAGTCTTCAAAAGGAATAAATGCAGGCAACACTCCAATAGTAAGGATGGTATATTTATTGGTAGGTGAACCACCCCATAGAAAGTGTGATGTTTCAGCTCATGCAATAAGGCTCTGCTGAGCCGAAACGACGCACTTTCTTTGGGGTGGTTCACCTATCAATAAATATACCATCCTTACTATTGGAGTGTTGCCTGCGTTTATTCCTTTTGAATACATTACACAGTCATACAGAGACATACATACTGTATGTCTCTGTATGACGGTCTGTGTATGTACACAGGATGGCTAAAAGATAGATCCCCATCTGTCGTGCAACTTCAACAATGCTTTGAAAGCTGGGGCTCTACCGATTCCCCATTCTTGCAGGATTGTATTTAGCATGGAGCAGTATTTGTGTGTTTGACTGTAAGCATGTGTTTGTATGGAGTATGTTTGTATGATTGTAGCGGTGTGTTTGTATGTAGTGCTTGCATTTGAATGCAAGCATGCATTTATGTGTAGTGTTGGTTTTTGAACGTAGGTGTGTGTTTATATATAATTTTGGTGTTTGATACAGAGGTGTGTTTGTATGTAGTGTTGACATTTGAATGCAGGGGTGTGTTTGTATGTAGTGTTGACGTTTGCATGCAGGTGTTTATTTGTGTGTAGTGTTGGTGTTTGAATGCTGAGATATATGCACATATACACATACACTGCCACACACGCACACACTGTGATACACATACACAAAGATACACACACTGACACACATGCAGATATACATATACACAAACTGATACACATTCAGATAGACAGACACACATATACAGATACACACAAACACTGACAGACATACAGATAAACACACACTGACATACAGACACGCTGACAGACATACAGATACACACATACACAATGATAGACATACACAAACACACACACACTGACAGACATTTAGACACACACAGACACACGGACAGAGACATTTACATACACACACACACTGACAGACATAGATACACACACACTGACAGACATAGATACACACGCTGACAGAGATATACAAACACACTGACAGACATACAGATACACACATACACAATGATAGACATACACAAAGACACACTAACAGACAGACATACACACACTGACAGACATTTAGATACACACAGACACACGGACAGAGACATATACATACACACACACTGACAGACATGGATACACACACACTGACAGACATAGATACACACACACACTGACAGACATGGATACACACACACTGACAGACATGGATACACACACACTGACAGACAGATACACACACACACTGACAGACATGGATACACACACACTGACAGACATGGATACACACACACTGACAGACATGGATACACACACACACTGACAGACATGGATACACACACAGACACACTGACCAACAGGTTCAGGAGGGTGGCTTACCTGGGATCCAAAGTGCTGCCTGAGGTAGTTGGGAGTTGGAGGAGCTGGTCCTGCCCAGCCCCCCTCCTCTCTGCCTTCTGCTGCTCTAGTCTTCTTGGGAGGACTTCCTCCCATGCTGACAAAAAAGGGGCCGGTGGTAGCTCCGCCCCTGCTGGGCACCAGCCGCACTGTGTGCTACAGAGGGAGCAGGGATATGACGTTCATATCCCCGCCCCCTCCACACAGTCTGTAGCACTGCAGGTGGGCGCTTGGCCACGCTACAAGAAGTGACCGGCAGGAGAGGGGCGCTGTGCGCTTCCCTCCTGCCGGTCACCCGGACATTTGCGCCCCCGGGCCGGTGCGCCCTAAGGCGGCCGCCTGTGCCGCCTTATGGACGCGCCGGCCCTGACTCTATAGACGATGGTGCACTGGTCAGCACCATTTCCAGACCAGACCCCTGACAACAATTAGGCATGGTGGTGGCTAGGTGATGTT